ATGCATACCAGGTGATTGGAAATATCATGGTTTGTGTCAGGCGCACCTTAGTCCTCAAGGAGATATCCTTGCTCCTCAGCACTTGATACAGTTCCTTTGCAGTTGACTTTTCCAATGCTACACGTTGTCTAATGTCCTGACTGCTGCTCCCATTGGCATCGATTGTAGAACCAAGCAACGTGAATTCTTTGACAACCTCAATCTTTTCTCCATTTGTTGTGATGCTGCTACTTCTCAATTAGTGATTATAAATAGAAATGATGAAGAAAGTATTCTAAGAAGAACATATCTTTGGATTGAGTTACTAGACAGAGAGTTTTGATGTCCATTCACATACAAACTCCAAGAGGAGATAAGATATTTGGAAAATAAATAAATTCAACTCAAGATATGCTGAGTTTGTGGGGCCTGTGGGACATCTGAGGTAGTGGATAGATGGTTTTGGGCTTAGGAAGAATGTCTGGATACACTCACCATTGCATAGGATGTATTTGCAACAATAGGTTTAGATGATTGTCCATGAAGAATATAGAGGAAAAATAGAATTTTAAACCTCTTTCTCTATACAATATACCTGAAGCATAAAGCATATGTCTACCCAGTTATAGTCTTTCCTTCCTTTATTGGATTTTTTTTTTCTTTTTACTGTTGTTATATAACAAAAACAAAAATAAGGCTATATAATTTTTTGTTCTCTCTATCTCACCCTCAAATTCCTAAAATAATTAACAGAAATTAATAAATGAAAACATCCTTGAGGGAGATCAAGATTTCCTAACATACTGACCGACACATAATAGGCTCTCAAAAGAGATATGTTGAATGGTGATCAGAGGAAAAACAGATGTCAAATGACATCATGACAGAAAGTAGTGGAAGAGAAAAAAAAGTAAATCACAAAAGATGATTCTGAAGATACCAAAGGAAGAGAGACACTCAAGATAAAGACTGTCAAAAATATGCAGGTGCATTTACCATACTCTATTTTAAACATTTCTCCTTTTGCTACAATTTAAGTACCAGATCTCAGGCTGTTGTGCACCATAACTAATAATAATCATTTATTAACTTTTTAACTATTTCTAAACTGCAGTTTCATCCAGCAAGCTAGCCTGCCATTAATGTCACACTTTTCTCACCCTTAACAAATAACAAAACTCCACTGCATGAGAATTATTTCATTAAAAGGATACCCAAAGCCCACATCCATTGCCATCAACTCAATTCTGATTCATAGTGACCTATAAGATAGAGTAGAACTACTCAGTGGGGTTTCCAAGGCTTTATGGAACCAGAATGCCACATCTTTTTCCGTGGAGAGGCTGGTAAAATGGCAGCCAAGTACTTAACCATTGCACCACCAGGGCTCCTTGTTATTGTAGGGACAAACTATTGAGTATAACAAGCCACACCCAAACCCTTTTTCAACAAGTACATAACAAATTGTATGAGACAAGACTTTCAAACTATCACAATATCACAATACACAAGTGTGGGGAGATGTTGGGGTTCAGAATTGCTGAAATGGACTGTGAGCTCCTTTGAAGTTTTTGGATTCTCAGCACTTAACACATGGTCAAGAACTGACTGTGGAACAGACCATCAATTTCTAATATGCAAGTTCCTGTAGAACTTGAAGAAAACCAAAACCAGTCCATGAAAACTAAAATATACCTTATACCTTGATTTCCCACCTGAATTTAGACACCAACTAAAGAACAGATTTGACTCATTGAACACCAGTGACTAAATACCTGATGAGTTGTTAGAGGACATCAATAATATCATACACGAAGAAAGTAAAAGGTCATTAGGAAATGGGAGGACACTAATTGTGCACATAAGAGATGGACAACAGACACTAATACCAACCATTGTGTCCACAGTACCACATTACCATTAACACCAACCACCAGGTTAAAGATAAACATATAAACACCTGAGAGGATCAGATAGGGGTCAAGGAACAGGAGTATACTCTAGACCAAGGATAGATTCAGCTGAGGCTAGTTTTGTATAGACACCAGTGATACAAAATGCCTGCAGTCATTACAGAAACAATAGAAGACAGATACAGAATAATCTGCCACAGACACCCAGATACTATGGGAGAGAGATCCAATAGATCTACTGGCTCAGGACCATAGTACTGATGTACACCAGACTTAATTGGCACAACAAAATACGTAAAAGCCTTGTTCGCATCCTACATTGATCTAGTGACTGGGGTCTTAAAAGCTTTCAAGTGGCCTTCTAAGATGAAGCTAATGGTCTCCTAGCATTGGAAGTGAAGAAGAATGCAAAAAAAAAGGGGGGCGGGCATTTGGAAGCAATCAGCCCTAGGACACGATGGCCCTTGAGACCAGAAGAACTAGATGGTGCACAGCTGCCAATGCCAACCACTCAGGAAAAGATCAAATCTGCAGATCCTGGATAGAGTGGGAAGAAAAACATGGAACAAAATTCAAAAACTCAATCATGACTAGAATTGCTGGTCAGAGGAAGTTTGATGAGACCCCCTAACACTATGGTCCTGGAATACATTCTGCACCTGGAATAAAACTCACCCCCAGGGGCTGGCTCTCAGCCCAATAGTTAACAAAACGTATATGCAGACCACTCAACGCAGGATGATGCACCCACATACTCTATGGTAATACATCCCTTAGAGCAATGGACCACAGAGCATCAGAGGGTCAACATTCAAGCTGAGGAAATGCAGGACAAACAGGAATGCATAAATATGAGGGGCACAGGGGGAGGGTTACAGTGTAGGGAGGGGAGGAGACTGGGTTAGGGTTGAACCGGTGGGATCAGGACCATAGTCACAGGGGACATCAAGCTCAATTGGCATAACATACTACACAAAACATTGTTCCACCTCTACTTTGGTGAGTAGCAACTGGGATCTTAAAAGCTTACAAGCAACCATCTAGATGCAACGATGGGTCTCTCCTCATTCAGAGCAGAGAAGAATGAAGACAACCAAAGATTCATGGAAACAATTAGTCCTAGTGACTGGTACACCATGCAATCTGCAGCCTATGTGACTAAGAGACCAGAAGAACTAGATGATGCCTGGCTACCACTTTCAACCACTTGGAGGGGGATTTGTGTAGGAGATCCTGGATAGAGAGGGAGAACAATGTGGAAAAAAACTCAAAATCATTTTGGGAAAAAAAAAGGGGGACCATGTTTATGTTTGCTGGTCTGATGAAGCCTGGCAGAAGCACTGAGACTATGTTCCCTAGCTACCCTTCAGGTCTGGAATATAACCCACACCTGTGGCTTCCAGCCTAACAAAAGACAGGCATATGAGTTGAACATTTACCTCTAGTAGATATACTCCTTGGAGAGAACAATCATGGGAGAAAGAAGGCTGTTTATGCACAGGGAGACAGCTCAGGGCGCAGGAGTGCATGGAGGGAAGGAGACAGGGAAGAGGTCACTATTGGGAGGA